TTGATAGGTTTTGGATTTTTAAAGATTTGTGTTACATCTTTGCATGTTTTAGTACATTATTTCAGACGGGGAACCATAGTATCGCCACTAACATGAGATACCCACACTGTTAGCATTCATGTAGGAAAGAGGATTCTGCGCCAGCAATTGGACGCAGTTTATTTGGGAAAAAAGTCACCTTTTAAGTTGTACAGTTTTTTTATATACCTTATCTGAGGTTGATTACCAGTTTCTTGAAAAAGTTGGTAGTTGCAGAGGCTGAGAAATTGCCTATGCAAATGCAAACTTTTTTAGTTGCTTCATCCAGTGCCGCTTAATTTCAGCCTGCTAGCAATTCTGACATTCGCCTCATTCCCTGAGAAGAGACTAGCGGCTGGGGGCGATTCTCGCAGCAGTAGCACTTAGCCATTTTGAGTTATCCTTGATGTGTATTGAGCATTCTTTCTTGACTTGATTGTTGCTTGATAAGGCACTTTGCCGACTAGGCCTTTGAATTTTTATTGCGACATATTTAAAATTTTTGACATTTTATATCACACCCACTTTAGTCTTCTCATTTTTTTTTAACTTTTTAAGCATTGCAGATTTTAATCGAAAAGGACTGGCTTGGTTTTGGGCACAAATTTGATGATCGATGCGCTCATGTGGGTGCTTTCAATGACGAAGCAGCAAGAGAGGTAGTCTGAACTTCGTAGTTTTTTGTCTCAGTTTTGGAAAAAGTGCTATTTCATCATTTTAGTGAGCGATACAGCCAGTCCTGTTTTGTTTTACTCAGTTCTGAACTCGCTGCAATCATCCAGTTCTGTATGGCCGTATAAAGTGGATTCTTTAACCTCGCTGTAGTTCTTCTGAGCGTTCTTTATCGTAAAGATGTAAGAAAAAGACTTAAAGATTGTCATTTGCTTTATAAAAGCACCGAATGAACTGATTACAAAAACTTGATCTTTATCAGTTGCAATCTCTGAAAAAAAAGTCGTATTAACTTTATGTTTTTGGCAGTTAGGAGTAAACCGATTGTAGCATCCGGGTTGATCCTGGAGACGTAATTGACGAAGCGCGATAAAATACAAAAAGAAAGAGCAGTATGAGAAAAGAAGGCAAGAGTGGGATAAGATATTTCGGTCCATTAAGTCATGTGCGTCTTAAAACCGCGGCTAGACCTCGTCTGTATGACAGTGCTTAATGAGGAAGAGAGTAACTTCCATGAATGTCGTAACGTCCGTCGCTCTTTATTCGATAGATGTGTAATACCATTCCAAATATTTAGTATTTACACTCATTTT